ACATGATTCTATTAAATTATAATAATGCTCAGGGATATATAAATAATTCGATTCTTTAGTTTTAGTTTCTTTCAAACCAAAATCGCGATCATTTGGCAAAAAAGAATGGCCGGATACCATAAATTTATGATCAACTGTTTCAACATTATTATCAGATAAATGAACAATTTTTAACCATATTTTATGAGATACAGTCCGTATCACTAGATCGTGGATCAAGAGGAACGCACCTGAAAGTTTTACTACTTTGTCTTTCACAACAGTAGGAATATTTATTTACAATTTATTTTGGCCGTACTCTCAACTTCTACGTTCTTGCTAGACTAACTCTACTTCTCACAAATATTCTATTTATATAAAATTTTACAAGAATGTTACTAAGCTTAAATTTATGGTTTTATTTCTAATCCTTAAAGCCTGCTTTTTTATGCAATAGTACATATTTTCAATGTTTCGCCACCCAAATTATTTTCAGCTGACTTAAATATAAAAATTTTGCAGGAACTGAACGGTAAGGAGTTGCAGATCTGTTTACAAGAACCGAATAATAATATTAAATTGATTTAAATTTCAGTTTTAAATTTCAAAACCGTGGGCGACGTATCTGGGGAGCACCCGCGACCTTATGTACTTTCCAAACTTCGAAATACGGTCTTCAAGAAACAGCATAACATAATTTCGTAGCGGCACCAAGGCCACACGTCGCTGTACCTAAAGGTAGGTTTGGGCACATTCAATCCGATATAGTCGGCCCATTGCCGACCTCTAAAAATTACAAATATGCGCTCAGTATAGTCGACCATTTTACTCGCGGGCAGGCGGTACATACGCTTATGTATATAAGCCACTCGTCACTCGTTTTAATTACCATTACAAATTACCACTGATCAAAGTACACAATTCACGTTTAACCTTTTCACCAAACTTGTAAAATTTGTAGGTAGTCACAAGATTACTATCTCGACAAACCATTCTCAATCAAATGGCATCATTGAACGATTGTCCAAGTAGTCGTTAAAGTTATCAAAAATATATTATCACAAAATACAAACAAACTTAAATAAAAAAGGAATTCTTGTTAAAACTATTTCAAGTTAAACATTATATCATTAAAATATTTTCTGTAACACTAAAATAAGAAATGAAAACAAAAACTACATAATACTGTTATTATTATATTATTCCCGTTTCTTACGCAGTGATTGCAGTGCAGTTCGCGTGGACATCTGGACATAGCATCTACATTGCCATGCGATTTGTCGTGCCGATGGGAAATCGAGAATTGGTAAGTTTGCAGTTTTTCAATCCACCAGACCCATTATCCTTCTGGTTCTTTGAAGTTGAGTAACCATCGCAGAGCAGCATGAGCTGTCCTTAGATGGAATTGTTGCCCATACAGATATTTGTGGAAGTGGTTGACAGATTACGTTATTGCCAGTAGTTCTTGTCGCGTAACACAATAATACTTTTCGGATTTGGATACACGCTTATTATAATATGCTATTACCTTTCCGTTACCATCAATTTGCTAGGGAATCAGACTGCTTAAGCCTTCCGCCGTTATGTCGGTACAAATTTTTCTTCTGGTACTGGATAAGCTAAAATGCGTGCGGCGCATAACAGCTCTGTCAACTGCGTGAACGGGTGCTATTAAGACTCCCTCCATATGAAGGATTGATTTTTCTTCCTAAGGTCATGCAGCCCACTAACAACCCTAGAAAACGTGGGGACGAATTTGTGGTAGTATGTACAAAGTCCTAGCAGAATGCGAACTTCATGCAAATTGTTTGGTCGTGGCCATTCTTTTACTGCTCGGATTTTCTCTTCATCCGTTTGAACCCCAATCTTGGAGACTTTGTGCCCAAGATATGCCGGTTCCTTCTCAAAGAATTAACATTTTTCGATACTCGATTTTAAACATGCTGCCCGTAATCGGTTAAAAACATTTGCCAGATTTTTTAGGTGTTACTTGAAGTCTTTACCCATGGCAATAATGTCATCCAATTACACCAGGCATGTCTTCCAGTGCAGCCCTTTTAACACGCAGTCCATTAGACGCTCAAATGTGGCATTGCATAATCCAAACGGCATTAGGGTAAATTGATATAAGCGGTCGCCAGCGGAAAACGCGATCCTTTCCTTGCCATGCTCGGCGACCTCCACCTGCCAGTACCCACACTTTAAATCTAAGCTTGACAACCATTGCGAACTTGACAATGTGCCTAAGGGTTCATCGATCCTAGGCAAAGGGTAAATATCCTTCTTGGTCACTTCGTCCAATTTCCTATAATCCACACAAAATCTGGTAGACACTCCTTTTTTTGTTAACAAGAACTACTGGCGAACACCAAGGGTTATTTAATGGTGCGATAACTTTCCGCTCTTCCGCTCAAGTCCGTCACTTCTCCCCTTTTTGCCAGTGGAATTCTTCTAGGCCGTTGCCGAATCGGATCAACTCCTGCAGTGTTGATTATATGTTTCGCAACGTTAATGCGGCCACCTGAAGTTGTAACACCGGCAGAGATGGACCGATTTTCCAGCAAAACCTTTTTGACATATTATTTTTGTTGCTCATCTAGATTGCTAGGCCATTTTTTTATGAGAATTTCAGCCTCTGGGGATACCTCTGAGCATGTTTTTGGTATTTCGGCTTGCCGACTTACCAGATATTCGGCGTTTTGGCATTACGCTATAATGTCCCCTTTGTGAACTTTTGTTGTAACGCTGGTTGGGTTTAATACCCGTACTGGTATTAAACTGTTAACCGGTGAGACATTTCCAATGATGATGTTGCCTTTCGTACATTCTCTATTCGGCTCGACAACCCATATATTGCTTAGCCTTAACTCTTGGGAAGCTGTGGCCCACAATATTGCTTCGAAGTTTGGAGAAATTCTTTGTTCTACTACAACTTGTAACACCTCGGTCCATCTGTCGTATCACACAGTCAATGGCAAAGTCACATTAGCGTGTTGTAACACTCGCCTTTTCATATCCAGTACGATGCCACGTTTTGCCATAAAATCCATCGCCAATATTACCTCGTCCATTATATCTACTACCAGAAATTCATGCTTCATCGACACATCGCTAATCGAAATGTTTCTCATAACTTTACCCTTAATAGCAGCTTCCTTATCTGTTGCCGTCCGAAACCATCCTGCAACTAACGGGTAAAATTTTTCTTTGACTATTGCACTGTTGATAATTAAATGAGAAGCACCAGTGGCCAGCAGGCTGCTGTTACTTCTCTTTGATTAAGTAATACCGACCCTAGGGCTACTAAAATTCGGAGTCGATGTGCTGACTGCTTTTAGTTGAACGCCTATTCGATGGATATTTCACTGGTATCTTCACTAATATTCCGTGTAGGTGATGTGGAGTGTGCTATTTTGTGCTTTGATCTTCATTCCCGTTCGAAATGACCAGGTTTTTGGCAGACATAACACTTGCGTATTTTAGAAAACACCATTCGCTTATTTCCGCGCAGAACTTGTCGAACTCTCGGCCAGACCACATCCGAGATATCGTTCGCCTGGTAACTTCCGTGCGTGTCGCCTTCATGCTTGACGTCCACAGCACACTAGCTGCTCCTTGTGTAAGTGCGAAGCCAAGTGTTTCCGTCGTTTTAGGTGACGCCCATACAGCTTTTTTAAGATCCTAGTCACAAAGTCCTTTAACAGAAGTGTCGATTTTTAACCTTTCCAGCACGTTGTCGTGCACACCGATGTACGCGAGATTGGCCAGGCGTTCGATTTCGGTAGCGTAATCTTCGATCCTTTCGATCAACTTCTGGCACCGCGAAGACAACTCTAGGTGGCTTACCTTCTTCACATGTTTGCCACCATATTTCCTTTCCAGTGCATCCATGATTGCGATGCGAATTCCGTTCTCTTTCCTTCCGGGATTATTTGGATACTTTCCGCTGCTCTTCTTAAGACGGTTATTAAGGCGACCGCTTCATTTATCCCAAGTATTTTTTGTTGCAACAACAACGAATTATGGCTTGAATGCGTTGAAGTTAGTGGTGTCGCCAAATAGGAGTGTTTTTACTTTCATGCTGGTGGTTACGTCATTAGTTCGTAGCTTAGCTTCTTCTTCCAGCAGATTAACTTTGCTTTCGAATTGTTGGTACGCCTCCTCTATATGTGTTTGCAGGATGCGCAGATTTTCCTGAATTTTCTCAATCTTTTCCATCGTCCCGTCAATCTTAGATTTTATATCTTGTTGTCCTAACTGTATTCGCTGTTGGACTTGCTGTTGCCCTTTTTGCATTTGTTGTTGCTTTTGTGGCACGAATTGCATAACAACGGCGTTGGATATACTTGCACCATCTTCGTCTTTTTGTTCAATGTGTTTTTTACCTGCTGTAACTATATTTTCTGTTCCTCCCAAGTTGTCAGTTTGCTCCCTTCCCTTTATATTATATTCGAGTTCAAGTATGGACAGATCCTCTTCGTTTTTTTCTAGCTGTTCGACCAGTCTTTGTTTTAATTTAGCTTTGCTAGCGACTGTACGAACGTTTCTCTTTCCCATCCCCTGTATGAGCTAATCCATTTTGAGTTCTGCTAATTTCACCATTTCTCTCGGTTTCCACGATCTCGCTTCTGATACCAGTTGTTACACATTTCGCTTTCCTAAGATAGGACTCATACCACTAGATCGTGGGTATTCTTTTTAAGAGAAATACACTTCAAAGTTCTTTGATTTGCAATTATTTTCCTTTAGAGTAGGATTATTAACAATTTATTTTTTGGCAATACTTTCTACTGTTCCACTCAAATGTTCTTTTTCTTCTATTCTGCCTTCCACAGATATTCTATTTATACACATCTTTACAAGCATATGACTATACCTAAATTCATGGCTTCATTTTTATTCCCTGTCTAAGTTTCCGCTAATCGTTTTCAGCGGCCGCGAATGTGCATTTGGTTTTTCTCTCTTTGGAGAATTTATTATTTGGGAAAATTAATTAGCTGGAATGAACTAGATTTGGGATTTCCCTAACAATATATATATATATGTAAACCAGTACTGGAATTTATGTGTTTTCCCTTTGTGTTGCAAGAGTACTTTCCTTATTCCTTTTCACAAAATTGGAAGTAGACAACTTGTTGAGAACTACAGAGGCCTACCCAAGTAGAGTGCCTTGCTTAAGCTGTTCGAGCGAACTGCAACTCAGCATTTGGCCTTTGCCATTAATTCGTATGTTTCCCCTCACCAGCATGGCTTTCGGAAAGGAAGATCTAGGGTCACCAACTTGTTAGAGTTGGTGACTTGTCATGCTTTCAGGGCTTTTTCTTGTGGCTCTCACACTGTTGTAAGATACATTACTTTAAGCAAAGTGTTTGATTTGGTTAATCATAAACTACGCATCTTTAAACTCCAAGGCTCTGACTCTAGTCTTGCAACTGACGCGCGCGAAATCGTACGCTTTTGTTAGTTTTATTGCTTAAAATTTTTTTGTTTTCGTTTTATACGCGTTTAAAGCTGGGTATCTGTAAAAGTGTAAAAGGATTGAACGTATAAAGTGTAAGAATTACATTAATTAGATTAAAATTTTGTGATTTTCATTTTGGTGCTTGCGATTAGCACTTGTGATCGCAATAGTAAATCTCTTTCGAGTCTTTTATAGTTTTTCTTTTGAGTTTTTTTTCTTTTTTTATTTTCTTCCTTTGGTGTTAATAGCTTTTCTCTTGGCTTGTTTACCGTTGCTTCAGTAGGGTAGATTTTACATGTAATTTAAGAGCCAATTTTTCTGATTTGTATTCTTTCTTTTTTTTCGTGCTTCCAGTTTGGTTTTGCTTTCTCTTGTTCTTTTGTTCTCTTGTTACAGGGACAACGTAACGGGGAAGTTTTATTAAATTTCTTACATTTGTAGATAAATTTAGTGCAGTGGATTCTTTTGAATTTTTTTTTTTTTTTGTCCTAATAATTCACTTCTTTCTTTTCGTTGACTTGACATGGAGTGCTTATATACACCATGTCGCGCAAAAACAGGCCCAGAATCGGATAGATTCGTTTTTTGTTGGCTCTGCAAGCGCTTTGGTCATGCAAAGTGTGCCGGTATTCTTGGCCGTGTTGCTGACGCTGTCGCTGACCCTTCCAAAGGCTTAAGATGGTCATGTCCTGACTGTAGGCAGCGGGACATTGATTTTCACAAACTTTTCACGGAGACTAGAAATGGATGATTTCTCGGAATTGAGTAGAAATCTCGGCTCCTTGTGGGAGAAGTTTAAGCTAATTAAGTCTAGGTTTCATGAGTGTCGTTTTATTGAGCACTCA